AACCCTCGTCAAACACCATGGTGAATTTAAAAGTGAATCACAAGGTGAAAAATAAGGGTGAAAAGAACCCTCGTCAAACCCCGTGGTGAATTTAAAAAAGTTACATCACAAGGTAAAAAATAAGGGTGTAAACAACCCTCGTCAAACCCCATGGTGAATTTAAAAGTGAATCAAAAGTTAAAAATAAGAGTGGAAACAACCCTCGTCAGACTCCATGAGCTGGGGAGGTGTAGGGAGTAAAGTGGTAGTGACGTCACTAGGTAAAAAATAAGGGTTGAAACAACCCTCGTCAGACTCCATGAACAGGGAGGGTGGAGGGGGTAAAGTGGTAGTGACGTCAAAAGGTAAAAAATACGGTTGGAAAAAACACTCGTCAAACCCCATGGTCAATTCACCTCGTCAAACGCCATGAATAGGGAAGGTGGAGGGGGTAAAGTTGGACTTTGACCGTCTGCCCCAAGTGGCAACACATACTACTAATAGAGGTATCAGAATGATCAAAAATTCAGATCCATAACACTCCGGTGGTCGTGACTGGATTAATTTTATGTTAATTTAGACGAGATTCATCCATACTTGATTTCCATATCAAAATACGATTTACGTTTTATTCTAAACTTTTTTTATAACTGTAAATATTTATAAATTCTTGGAGGTGATGCACATTATACATTATAATAGATTGTTGAACATTAAATTCACGTTGCATTGCGGAGGGTTATAATTTATAGTGAGTATAAATAAACGATACTTTTGTTTTAGACTGTCGTCCAGTTGGAAGGAATCGTCAGGGCATGGTGTGTCTCATGGGCGTTGCACTCCGGAGGAACTTTCAATCACTTGGCTGATGGAGGTGTAATCGTGAACACATACAAAGTTAATCCCATGCAGAAGAAGATTACAGTAACTCTGCCCAGATATGGCTTTAGGTAGGTACGTCTAAATTAATTGTCAATGAATAGTTTTTCACCCAACAAAAAACTTTCTCGATCGGTTTTATATTTTTTCGGGTTGCCTTTCAACAACCTGTTTAGCAATAAGAGTAAACAGTTATTTTTATGTTTTCTTCCGAACTGTTTATTTACGAACGGTGACATTCTTTTTGCATAGCTGTACGTTCACACAATTTTTATTAAGAAAAACAGCTTTTTTCATTTTGGTTGTGGGAGATGAAAATCAAAGAACATTTTGTCACACAATTTTTGTTTTATATTTGCCGTTTCAGGCTCAATGGACATAATCAGCAAGAAGCGCCCAAAGTTTTACCCTAATCGCGGCAAATCGCCCGAAAAGAGCCAACTTCAAACGGGATTAAATTAACAAAGATACGGCATCCAAACTTATGCTTAAGTACGAGAAAGCTTAACTGTCTGTTTTCCTCTTGCGAAACCAAATCGTGTTTCTTTTAAAAACCTATTTTAATTAGGTATATTAGCTTTACTTATAGGGTGCCTCGTGATCAGACGTCTATACTTCAATATGTCAGTTTATATGTCAAACAAGTGTAAGATGTCCCTTAATAGAAAAAATGAGTGAGGGTGTGGTTTAATCTTTGTAAAAAGAATAAAAAATTCCTATTTTCAATTATATTCGGGATATATAAACCTTTCGGAACTTTTTCCCACAAAACCTCCCGTATCTCATAACATGTGAATGTTACTGTAAATTAGATTACATCTTTCAAAATTCAGATTCATCAGTTATTTTTATTGCGACCGTGAAATGAAACTATAAATTCATTACAAGTTTCCAAAGTTCTTATCTATTGTTTAAGTTAGTTATTTTTGCCTTCAAGATCTTCATTATGATGTTGAAACCTCTATGGAAAAATCGGCAAAGTCATACAAAATAAAAAGAAATATTCTTTAGTACAAATTTGAAAAAGAAAAAACAAGTTTATAACAATTTAAGGATCGAAATGTCCAACAATGGCGACGTAATTAATTTAATGTAATAAAATAATTTCATACAGAACAGCTTACTGTTCTAACACCACTTGGATAAATGTTGGATGCCTTTCAATATCTTTACAAATTTTTATCAATTAAATTATGTTAATTAATTTATTAGGTTTCCTGGTCCGCTTGCCCAAATAGATTAATTTCAGTTAATTAAGGCTTTTGGTTGAGATAAAAAAGTCAGTGTCACAAGCGGGATTCGATACGCCGCTGATACACCACTTGAGCTATCGTGACTTCGATCCACTCGGACACTAATTCCCCATCAAAACCCCACTTTTCGAATTTTAAAAATGGCAAATAGGAGGAAAATTTCAAGCTTTGATCGAAGAATTTTTTTTCATTGGTCACAACTTTTAATGTATAACGTGTAAAACTATTCCAAAATAAAAACCAAAAGACTTTATAATGCATTACCTGCACTCACATGCACTTAATCTCTCTTCTCTTGAGAGAAGAAAATTGCTTATTCATTGAGTAATCTGACGTCGATAAACTATTTATGAACTATTTTACTTAGGAAATCTTGATACATCATTCCGCGTAATAAAAAAATTTATGATTACAGTTCGAATCACTATTGTTGATTTTCAGTAAAATTTCAAAAAAATATTAAAATTTTATTCAATCTACAAATAAGGGGAAGATAATTTTGCAAATCACTTTTATATAAACATAGTTATTGCTTGTAGGGTTTAACTTAGATTTACGGATTTTAATTAAGTTGTGCGAGGGTAAGTCTCACTTGAATGATGTTACCAGCTAGCATAACCGAGGTCAGGATGTTTCCCTAATAGCAGGCAACTTTCCAACACGAGGAAAAGACGGGACATTTTGTAGGTGGTGTATTTCGTATTCTGGGTGAGCGGGAAGGCGAAGATAGATAAATCTCTTAGGGCGTAGGAAAAACCATCGCTTTGTACCACAAAATTATGCGCAGATTTATGCAGTGCCGTTTCTACGTTTGGGCGTTACAAGTGATCGGAAATATACGTAAAACGGTCTTACAATAATGTAACAAGAGGAATTTACTTCAACCCACGGGATCTGAGGATAACAATAGTAAACCAAACATGCCCACGGATGTTAAATCAAATTGAATTTACATTTTTTCAGAAAAGCTATAAATATTTCGAATGAATTTTAACTTGTTATCAATTTTTCGGTTTTTTCTCATATTTTGAGTTTACATTAACGTGAATCTATTATATTTAGTCGTCTATTGGCCAAATTACTTCTTGCAATTAATTAATCTTTTTATGTTAGGTTTTGGTTGAAATGAAAAAGTTAATGTCACGAGCGGGATTCGAACTCACGTCCTTCGCCTCAATACGCCGCTGCTCTAACAACTTGAGCTATTAGAGAGCTTGTTAGAGCAGCGGCGTATTGAGGCGAAGGACGTGGTTCGAATCCCGCTCGTGACACTAACTTTTTCATTTCAACCGAAACCTTACATAAAAAGATTAATTAATTGAATTAACATGAATATTTTACTGTATTATTCCACAACTAAATTTTTAATTTTCTTCTGAATTCTTGCAATTTAGTACACTACTTTATGTCTTGAATCAGCTTGATTAAAACAAGAGTAAACAAACAACTATAGTCATGGCCGAATATCAAATCCTACGTCTAATTTCATCTATGGTACCAATAAATATTTTTTTAACATGAACCTTTCTCGTTTCGAACCGTTTTGTTTTGGCCGTTCACAGGCATTCATCTTTTCATCGGTGATTCGGGCCTATCGGAAGGTCGAATTAGAAGATTATTAGTTAAAATCATATTTATTTTTTATGAAACTTAATAATTTTAAGAAGACTGAAATGAAACCGATATCAGGGAAATATTATTTTTAAACAAAATTCTAATTATGCTTAAAATTTCAAAGAAGTGGAGCAAAACTAATAGCACAGATATTTAATACAACACAATAAAGTGAAAGTAATCTAATTAAATTCAAAGGGTGCATCCGTCTGGCTAAATTCATTGGACGGTCAACAAGTTCATACACTTGCGAATTATTTATTGTTTCACATTAATATTGTAAAAAAGTAATCTGTTCAGCTAATTCATGCGTGAAAAACAAAAATGTATACATTTAGTAAATATATAATCAAACAATAAAATCAATCACAAACCATCATTTATCAAAACAAAGGAATTACGATAGTTAAACCCTACAATAACATTTGAAACCAAAATCACTATGGTCAAGCTAATAAATTTGATATGAGAGAAGAATCTTCATTTAGTTAAGGAATTCTAAACTGTAAAGGTGAAAGGCTTTTAGGGAAGTAGTTTATATGCTTTATTTAAAAAATGTAATTTTGATAAGACACACCACCTGAACGTTTTGTTAACAAAGGTACAAAAATAGCTTTCATTTTCATATAACAGAATGTACAATTGAAAAAGTAAATAATGCTTATACAAAACAGAATACGAAAACTGTGGAGTCCCACAGGGGACAGTGTTAGGACAATTGCTTTTCATTGTATACATGAATAATATTTTTGCTTTAGTTATTAATGGCTCGCCTTTTTGTTTTGCCGATGATATGGCATTTATTTTTACTAGCAATTGCTTTATTAATTTATTAAATATTGTTTCGAATAGTTTTAAAATAATTAAAGAAAGGAGGAATACTAATTTATTATCAATCTGTATATATAAAACCTCTCTGATGTCTTTTGCAGTGGTTTGCGACTACAATCAGCTACATTTTTTCAAATCTCACTCTTAACAAAAATGAATGTAAATCAGATGTTGGAAATTGTGAGTGTCCAGTACTAACGTTTACTACATGTAAATATTTATGAATTTTGTCCGAGTGCAATATTAAATTTAAAATGCCTGTAGAAACTCCAATTGTACCAAATGTAAATTATTTTATAAATTCAAAATATTGGTAAATATTCTTGAACCTCACACTCTAAAAACTGTGTATTTTGCATTATGTGAATCATTATTTCAATATGGTGTGATAGTATGAGGCAATACCAGTAAAAAAACTATTACATAAGGTTTGTGTTGCTCAAAAGATTGTTATTAAAATTGTCACGAGCCCATTATACAAAATTTTGTGTGCATTCAAGATTTCGTTCTGAAGAAGTGTTCAATGTGTGTGTTTAATGTAAAAAACTTTTTGTGTTTGGCGCATGCATTCATACGTTTAAATTTAAAGCACATAGCTATAATTTACACGTTTATCCTACTCTATCTCAAATCAAAAATTGACTTACCTAAAATTAATTCTGGACTTTTGCCAAGCTTCTTTGTTAGTTTAAAAACTGACCTTCATTTTAAATTCAATTTTTATGATTTTAGTAATTTAATAAATTTAAAAATTATTTAATAAAACATTTCATTTGTAATATTTAAAGTTTTTCTCATTTTGTTACAATATGTAAAAATTTATGTTGTTCTAATCATCAGTTTGTAGAAGTGTGAACTATAAATTATTATCTGCTCATATCATGATCTCAGGTAAAAGTACTGTTTTGCTTAACAAAACGTAATTCTAACATACTCCAACCTTCTGTACTAGAATGTTCTTATAAAGGGTGGGCATAAGAAACACTTATTTTTGTTAACTTTTTTCTCTTTTCTTATTCTCTAAATAACAATATTACATGTGTTTGTAACAATATAAATCAAGATGGATAACTTACAGATGAAGTGTACAAGATTTTATCTATCGACGAAAAATGGTGGGAGTTGTGCTCTTCTGCAAAGTCATTTAATTAGATTCACCTGGCCTTTGCCGGAAATTAATTTTCAAGCTTTCATAGTTTGTGCGTCGGTAAATAGCAAAGGAAAGAGCTCTTCGTTGAAAACAGCTTGTTTCGTACCTGATTTGTGAATTTATTTAACATCTTGAAATCGACGTAATTCCATTTATTCTTTGACATAAAACAAACAGGAATAGAAGGTACACATTGTTGTTTGAAATGAAGCGTAAAATAAATCGTCATGTTATTCTTAAAGCGGATTATTGTCAGTCCTGTTTATTCCACATCTCATCGTAGTTAAATATTGTTAAATCAACATAAAAGATAAACAGTAAAATGCAAAAAAAATGTTTTCATCATCTTCACTGAGTCATAACTTTGATATAATCGAACATAGCCGGGAGTAAGAGAGAAAGAAGTTGAGTGTGCATGCAAGGTCAGAATATTTGCTGCTTGCTGCGTTGGTTTAGTCTAACGGCAGTGCCGTGAAAGTAATGTACGATTACGTATTGTAAGGTAATATATTGTTATGATACAAGAAATGAATTGTAATAACGAGACTGACGAATGGACATATAGCCAGACAGTTAAGGATAGAGAGAGTGAAAAAGTTGGTAAATGAGAAACCTAGTTAAGTGCGAACTATGTGAAATAGTGCATCGAAGGGTTGGCGAGTGCAGGTGTCTGTGGTGTGTTTTTCTCTTTTGTGAAAGTACTTATTAACAAAAGGTGTTTTTTTTAATGCATGCTCCCTTAATTATAGCACATGTAGGATGCTGATTAATAATTTACTATACGATAGTTAAAAACAAATAGAACATGAATCAACAGTAACCAAACTCCATTACGAAACACAAAAAACACTTTTCAATACGTGAAAGAAAGTAATAAAACAAAAATGTCATTCATTAATTTCACAAAACACGGCAGTACCTCCAGTCTGAGAAAAACATACTTTGCCGGAGGTCATTTTAACCCTTGAGCAGCAAAAGAAATTTGGTGAGTGTGTGCGAGTATTTTTGATGAAATAAAAAAAAATAAAGATAAGAATAAAAAAAAATTAGTCGTGCAGTAACAATATACAAACGAAAAATATAACAACCACTTATAAATCAAGCATGAACTTTTCGGTTTACATTAATTATACGGGAAGAACACTTAATTAAGTGATAATTAGTGATATTCCTTCTAAACTTATTCAACGTTGTGTTTTTCAGTTATCCAGACTGGTTGAGAACTGGGATTCAAATCCAAGTTGAGAACAAGGCCCAGGAGAACGATACGGTTTTAGTTATCGTGCTCTTCAGAGACTTGGCACAGTTCTACCCTAAACACTTCTCTCAGAAATTAACGTAAGTACAAACATTTACTTAAAAACTGTGTCGCTAATTAGCGGTTACAAATTACTGAAAAGCTATTACTGTTCTGTATATAATCCGAAGCAAATTATATATTTTTATATTTGAAATTAAACTTGTAATCCATATACCGATAAAACCGAAAAATTTGCAATGTAAAAAATTGGATGATGATATTGATTTGTGCAAAAAAGCGACTAGATTAACATTAATTAACTTAACATTGGTTGTGGAAAGGAGCAAAGCGTGAAACGACATTTAATCAACATTAAAGAGGTTTTCGGCTAAGGTTGAATTAAGCTATCATTGGAACCACTTGTCTATCTCCGTTGTGGAATACTTGAACTTCTGCGATTTTAGAACTTTCTTCATCAAGTCCACCACCCCCGCACTTAGATCACTTTATAGACGAGGAAAGGAAACAGTTTATTTTTCACCTTCCCCTTAGGGGAAAAGGGGAGAGGAACGTTTTCACTACCGAGGTTAGAGGTTAAAACTTACTTGCCGATTTTAACAATTATATCAACCAAGAAGTTTCGGTGGTTAACATAGTAGTCATTTTGATCGAATATTGAACTGACTGTACGGATAACAGTTGACTACTGCACCAATTATTTTATTTATTTTTTTTTTTTACGAGGGTTCGCAACAGCAGAGGTCGTATAAACCCTCAGGGTGCCGGTGTTTTTGAAAAAAGCCCATTTGTATGCCGGGTTCGAATGCAGGGCCTCTGGATTCGAACCCGGGACCTTACAGTGATGAGCGCCGTGTCAAGGCCTAAACCGTTGCGGCCAACGACGCCCCCACACGCACCAATTATCAAAACCCTACTATCTAGAAAAATATGGTGCTATATTATTTTTTTACATTATTTGACAGTTAATTTAGCTTGTTTCGAAAAGTTCTGTGAAAAATAAATACATTTTAATTTTTCTTTATTTTTCACCGCCTAACAAATCTAGATTTTATTTATCTAGATAAATTAACGAAAACGAAATTACTGTTTAAGCTTGCGTGGCTTTGAAGGCATTTTGTGTTGAATAGTAACACACAAAGTTATGATTATTGGGATATCGTGAGTTGAGTTGTGGTGTGACGTAAGGTTTAGAAAAACCTTTCTTCATCGTGCCAACGTTTCGATCTTTATTGAGATCATCATCAGCGCCTTGGATTTATAAACATTGTTTAAATTATTATTCGGACATCGTAACATTTCTGCTAAAAATCATTGACTAATAACTGTCACTAATAACTACACATTGTTGAAATTATACAAATACATTTAAGATGTGAAAAATGATTTTATACAATGGTAGACATTTTAGATTCAATCACAGTATTTGCACTCACTCAAAGTGTTTGTTTTTGTGTAGATGTGCCGCTACTGTGTACACTCTTAGTGCCAGTGAGATATTATTGGGTTTTTTTTTTAGTGGGGAAGGATGTAGGGATAGAAAGAAATTTTTATATGAGGAGACGGCTTTGTTGAGGTGAAAAGAGCCGACAATTGGAAAAAATCGGTAATGGCTCGGCCTGATTATCTTTTCAGGATTATAAAGACGGGGATAAATAATAAAAGGATAGCCAAATTTTTGGAGAATTGGACTTTGTAGAAACGGTTGATGTGTGAAATGTGATGATTGTTTTATATTTATAATATATGTTTTGAGTGATGTGATGATATATGTATGTTATCGATATTGAATTTGATTGATGATATTAGAGTATCTGCGACTGAGTTTACATGTGTCTGTTCTGTAATTGATGCTGTGTTTATCTATGCTGATGTAAACCATTTCTAAAAAGTTACGTTTGTGTTTGTTTTGTTCTGTTTGTAATAATTTTGGATTGTTGAAGTCTAAATTGTGTTTGCGTTCAAAATGTGGGTAGACAGTGCTGTAGGATTTTGTTTGGGTTTTTTGCAATCATAGATATGTTGCTTTACTCTCTTAACCAGATATTGGGATGTAATACCGATGTAAGTTGCCGGAGAAATTAAACATTTGATTTTGTAAATTACGTCAGATTTATTTGTTACTGGTGTGGGATCTTTAATTTTGGAAAAAAGTGCGTGAGTTGTTTTATAAAATTCAAAACTTAAAAAAAAACTATAAAACAATAACCACATTTTTTCCAAAATATATATGGTAATAATGTAAAAAATATATGATATATAAAAATAAAACATCAATACGGCATTGACCCTCTCAAAAGACACCCAAGAATGACACATCTACAAAGAAAACAAACACTTTTTGTGAGTACAAATACGATGATATGATTGAATCTACAATTTCTAGGATTGTATAAATTCATTTTTTTTGGGGGGGGAAGTAGGGATAAAAATCCATTTTTCTATGAGGAAAATCTTACGTCACACCAGACAGCATCTCACGATCTCCAAATAATCATTAATTAACGGTCAGTTTACCGTAAAATTCATTTTGTGTGAAATGGCTCTTTTCCTAAGATAAAATACAACTCTTATCTGTTGTTTGTATTGTATATTGATAACTTTCTATTTCCCCTCATATCGCCGTTTGTCACAAATCGAAAAAAACTCTAAGAACGGTCAAGTCTGATATTGACAGCACATTCGCCCAATAAGTACATGAGCCACCATCTCCCTTTCCGAGCCCAATAAAACTTTTAATGAAAAAAAGATCGATTACCTTCTCACTCCGCACAAAGGTCATTACGGTCCGAAATATTTATGACTCTGAATTACATAATGAACAATCAGTACTCGCTGTTTTAAGTTACTGCTGTCATTTTAAATTTGTTTTTGGTAACTGCGCTTTTTCATAACGAGTGGATGGTTACTGCGTCGGTCACGATCTCGTTCTCCATCATTAATTAACGGTCACTAGACACCACACATTTATAGCATACATTTTCATCTTTTGTTTTCTAAAATTTCACTAGTAAAAAATGTATAATTCAAATAAATACAGAATTGATGTACCATTGGATATTCTGTTATAAATTGTGATGTGCATTTGACTATGTAGTGACATTTGCGTACTAACATGTAAGCCAGTTTTTTAATCGTTTCTGCATTTTATTTTTTTTTGTATTTATTTATTTTTTGACGAAGCAGGACGTAGATCGTTGTGCTATTAGGAAACTGTTTTTTTTTTACATGACAGATTATATTGTCAAGTTTTTTATGAATTCCACTATTTTTCTGCAACTTAACTGCAAAGTTTAAACTGTTGGCAAAGCATTATATATGGTTCTGCTTAGGAAGGGAAATAAGCTTAAAATAAGTACAAGAACCATTATCTGTGATAAAAGACTCGTTTTGAAATATTAAATGTCATGATCTCTCTCTCTCTCTCACTCTCTCTCTCTCTCTCTCTCTCTCTCTCTCTCCCTCTCTCTCCCTCTCTCTCTCNCTCCCTCTCTCTCTCTCTCTCTCTCTCTCTCTCTTGGACTATACTTTCTATGGACTAGACAAAAACTGGTAATAAACAAAATTTGATGTTAGTAGAATCCTATTTTTTGCAAGACCGTTCTGAGACTAATTTAAACTTGAAATGTAATAGTGTCTTTATCCTTGCCACCGCCACCGAGGGATTTTAGATGGAAATTAACTTTTGGTGAAGCCAGAATTTATATTGCTTATATTTTATTTCGGACGTCTAGTTTTAGAAACACTAGAAAACGGTTTTTTCTTTAAATGGTACTCCAAGAAATATTCGACACTCTTAGGAATCAAAGCTCCCTTATTCCTTATCCGGTGATGACACCGGCCATTTGGTCCGTGAAAGCGAAAAAAGATATCGATGTTTGAACGGGAAATCGATTCGCCAGTCGTTAGACGCGGCCATTCTCTATGCTTAATGCCGTCACATCAACAAGAGCGGACATAAAAGGCAAGCTACCGATTCTGTGCCAGAATCGCAATGCCCGCCGAGGCAATATTTCGCCCTTCAGAACCCAATGTCGCCCAAAATCCTTTTATAGACTGAAACCTTAATTTTACCTCGCTCGAGACATAACACTTCCAATTTTTCTCACGTATGAACCACATTCGGACGGATTTGGATCTAATGTCGGATCTTTTTATATTATACAGGGTCAAAAGTATAGAATGTCCCAGTCACAAATAAACATGCCGGACAAAGAAATCACAAAATATAATATATGTGAAATTGAATTGATGTTGTATTGGATCTTCTTAATTTAAACGTAAATAAAGAAGACTAATTGGGTTTCACCAAGCTTTCGGCGAATGTTCCGCCATCTTCAGGGCCTAATTTATTAAAAACAAAATTTACATGAACAGAGTTACATAACACATTTTATATCAATATATTAGAAAATACAATTACGTAATTAACCCTATATTAATATTAACTAATAATAGGAAAATTAAATTTATTGCCCATGTTTGCTGTTTTTTTGAAGTGAAGGAGAAAATGAATCTATATACTAAAAACAAAAAACAGTCTTTCTTAAAGTCTAGTGACACTCATTCGTCCATCCTTTGGTTTCATTTTTTTCATAAGTTAACACTCAATCTCAGGTACATGTATTTCTTTATCACAGATACGTTATATATATATANACATATATATATATGTACAACTTTTTAACTGTTTTTTCATTTATAATTATAATTTACCTAGCTACAACTATGTACAAGGATTCGAAGAAAATTGAGACACACATCGGACGGTTATAACACGGTAATCCCTGTTATCAGTCCCGGTGTGATTAGACACACCAACGTCACTTTGCGCTTTATTTCGATTCATGAACAGTTGAAGGATTTCCTAATATGCCATGATGGAGCCTAGTCGATCCATCTGTAAATTACAAGTGTTTTCCGTAACATGAACAAAGAGTGAAATTGAACTGTTAAAGTTTTGTTCTTGTATCTGACAAATCTAAAGAGCTAGGATAAGACAAGCAGAATATTATCGGGACGACCAAACAACGAATATATGCCATGTAAATTGTCTAATGGTATAGCATTAAACATTATT